GATAATTGTTTAAGGATTATCGGTTGATTTATAAAATGAAGTTACAGCAGTCCTTTTCTAAATTTATTTTTTGTTTAAAATCAAAATGTGACATGAGAGAATATACAGATATAACGTCCAGTATAGATAAGATGAGAGGTGACAGATTATTTGACATTTATCATTAAAATAAAATGTCTTTCTCTGCTTGTAAATAAATAATAACAGCTGTGACTCACAGCCAGGTTTCTCTTGGCTGGGGCCAGCTGAAAAGAATTTATTTTTAGGAACGTTGCCCTCGTTCAGACGTGTGTACACGTGCACATTTACTTTGGATTGAATTTATCAGAGCGATATCACTTTCATGTTCATTTTATTGTTGCTGCTATTGTACAAATATAAAGACTATACACACACACACACACATACGCACATATATACATACATATATATATATATATATATATATATATATATATGATAATATTTTTTGAATGTGGTGCTATATTTATGGGTAAAAGTTCTCAATATCAGAGACATAGTGTATGTAAATAAATAGAGGTCAACACCAAGCAGTGACAGCTTCAACGCAATAAAATTCTCTTTGTTTACCGTACGTTTGGATATGAAACTGTACGAAAAACTTCGAGAGAAATTTCACTTGATGCACAAAATTTGACATCTGACGACTGCTATTTGTAGCCAAATTGGTTAAAGAGTGCTGTGTTTACGGTATCTCTCTCTATTCTGAGGTTCGCAGTTTCAAATCCTGGCATTCAGACTGGTAGGCGAAAATACTGTTTAACTTAAGTTTAATAAATACGAGTATACGCTAAAAATATTGTTTAACGCTATAAAAATCTGTCGGATTAATAAAAAGTCTATTCTAAAATATATGTTTAGGTACCGACCCCCAAAAAATGATAACTAAGAGTCCTAATTCTATTGAATTTTAGATACTCTGGCTTTTAAACTCTTACTTACAAAGACGCATGTTGAGGAAATGTTAGAAAATTACCAATGAATTTTAATGTCGTTTATACAAAAATTGGACCACACAAAATTCTTTTTAAAATACGGTGGTCGCTGAATTGTATAAAGCTTTTCCATTTATAAATACAGTTCTTATTTAATAGCACTCTCACTTGACCACTACAAATTCATACGTAATTTTAAAAGATTTAAAAGGTTTATAAATTATTCTTTAAAAAGAAATGAAAACAATCCTTGTAAAATTAATTATTCATCAAAAATTGTTTTTGTAAGAAAATATTGTCCATAAAATATTTTATTCATAAAAGCAATTAAAAGCATTTCTAATTAAATGATGTATTCGTTTTATTGCATTTTTTATTTTACAATTAAGGGCAGATTTGAGGGACTTATTTAACTTTCGTTAATTGATGATTTAAATTCTCCAAGGACTAATCGTTATAACTAATAATAACATTGGCTAACTTGGTTAACTTGACTAACAGTCTCTGCCTTCGGGCGGAGAGGAACCCGGACGAGGCGCCGCCGAAGGGCAGAGTCTCGTTCGCGGTTATTGACTGCCCCTGAACCCGTTTATGCAGGTTCAAAGAGGGAATATTTTTGGCCGAGCCTACGGGTTCGGAAATTCCACGTTAAACCCGGCCTTGTGCCACATGTAACCATCGTGGGGTGGGGGAGCTAAATATCACTAATAATAACATTAAGTCCTAAAAGAATTTCTCGAAATTTCATAAATAATGATTGTGGGTGGGGAACATGTAAAAACATTTTTTTTACTAAGATCTTCTTTAAAACTAAAGAAACCTTTAAAAAATAATTTCATTCATTTCTGAAAAATTCTGAAAGTTTTATAAAATCCACTATTGTTTAATTTTTGCAAGTATTTCCAAATCATTTTCATCACAAAAACACGCTAAAATTCCCCGTACAAATTTATGGTCCCACGTTGAAGACCCCCGCCCCCCGCCAAAGAAGATTTCTAACCAAAATTTCGAAGGTTCTAAACGGATTGAAAAATAATTCTTAAATCAAAAACTTCTTTGGTATTTCCTCTCAATAATAACAAAGATTTTGACGATAAATTTTTGTTTTCGTTAAGTTTTTTTTTCATCGTTTTTAGCGAATTTCTAGCGGTACATGTCAGGAATGAATATTCTATTTTTAATCCGACATTATTTCTTATTACTCCAGACATTATTTTGTAGATACGTGTGTTTGAGGAAACGCCCTTTTTTTAAAATTTATTTTAAAAAGCGGGAAATATGTCTCTCGGTCTGTGCATTCGAGTGACTAAATGATGAAAACCCTGTCAGAGAGCGCATTTTCTTCCATGAAGGATTTGTAATCAAAACAGTGACCTAAAAGAAAATCATTGATCCTTTGGGCATAGCGTCTGAAGGTACAAAATGTTAATTCCTGAATTGAATGTCTAATGTGAACTATAGTATATAATCATAATGTTGAATCTCCCCTCGAGAATACTTATCGAAACTTGAACAAACTGTTTGTGATTAATTGAAATGTACAAAGTGCACAAGTGTTTAATGTGATCAACCACCGAATAAATTACCAAGAATTCCTGTCCAAAAGAACTTTATATGGACTTAGTGTATAACAATTTCTTGGACAAGAAGAATTTTCAATAACCATAGGTGATTTGTTGTAGGACAGCATCCAGTCCAACTGATGAGGAATTGATTAACAGATGAGGAATTGATTACCAGTGCGATTGAATTGTCATACATTTTTTCAGTCACTGAAATGCAGTGACTGAAAAAATGTATGACAATTCAATCGCACTGGTCATAATATTCTTGACGTCTTTGAAGAACAACGTCAGCTTTTATTAATGTTAGTAAGAAAATCTAGTAATGGCTTTAAGATAGACCAAAATATGACCTCATGCGACACAAAATTTAACTGTAATAACCCTTAACACATCGATAGTTGACCTAGAGAAGCGACAACCATTTGGTTTGTCTGAAAGAAGACATATTGTTTGTATGAAATGTTTTAACAATTCGGAGTTTATTAGAGCCTCTTTACCAGAAGTTGAAGACTAAGAGGTCAATAGTTCGATTCGTCAGGAGTCTTAACATCAGGAACTACAGAAGAGAATTTCCAACAAGCTAGAAGGCAAAAAACTGCAATTGTAGAGCTTAGATAGAACAGGAATCAGTTCAGGAGCATATTTCTTTAGGACAGTTGCACGGATATCCCAAAGTTTATAAATAGTAAATACTAAAATTCATTTTTATGTAAAAGTTCTTACATAGGATAAATCTTTAGACATAAAATAATTTTCATATGATATTTAATTTATCACTCTTTCATTTCTTTATCCTTATCTATCTATCTATCTATCTATCTATCTATCTTTTCCATTTGGCGTTTAAATTTACATAAAGATCAGTATTTTGAATCATAGTCCATATACCCGTTTAGGGTCGACATGTATAATTTAAAGAATAAGGTACACATCCAAATATTAACAAAAATAAATTGCGTTTCTTTCAGTATTACTCTATGTGAGTTTTCGGCATTGGTCTTTTTTCTTTTCGCCTTCTGTGCGTGTGTGGGGTGTCGTTTATTTAAATTTTTTCATCAATACACTCTATAGAGTAAAAGGTTCCGTTTCTTGCGGAAATAATTCTACCTAGCCATTAAAGCTGTTGATGTCAAATTCACAGTTGAAATTGTTAAATTTCGTGCAGTAAATAATTTGCAGTTTACTCAATAAACTAACATTCTTCACTGGGTAGCCCATACTTTCGGCCTTGAGCCACATCTAAGCTATGCTTAGAAAACCACCATAGACTAATGATTGGATTTAATATCGTATTAATATGAAAGAAAGGCAATTTTTGCAAATAATTTTGCTACTAATTCCATTAATAAAAAATTAAAATCATGTCATTAATTTAAAATCATTTAGTACTCAATGATACATCTTCAAGTAGTTTTTATTGCTAAAAACAAAATTAATATATTAGGATAAATATTTGGTTGTCGTACAACATTTGTGGAGCATTTAAAGATGAAGAAACTCACACACGATGGGTTTACGTTTTATGGGATTAACACACTAAACGTCACTCGACCCGCAAGATAGATAGATAGATAGATAGATAGATAGATAGATATGAAATAGTTTATCACACAACCCGATTTGATATAAAGCTATCAGAATGTTTTTACATTGATGTTCACCCTGTACAAGGCCCGAGGGTTACTCGAGGTAGTGGGTTAAAGATTATGAGGCACAGCTCATGCGGATATGTATGAAAAATAACGGTTAACCCTACACTTGAACAGATTAAGATTGTAGTGTTTGGGGAAGCTACTGCTTGGGAGTCGGTTTCACAGAGCAGTGATTCATGGGAAGAAGCTGCTGAGTGGAACTTAATATCACCAAGCGAATTCGATGGGAATGTACGTGACATGACGGGTCTTAGCCGTGAAGGTGGTGGAACTAAGGAGTGTAGATCATCTGAGCACTCACCATGGAAATAGCAATAGCGCAACGTGAAGCTTGCGACGTCTCGTCTGTGAGAAAGTGGTTGTAGGGTAGAAAATAATTCGTCATCTACAAGGACGCGGAGACGCTTTTGGAATCTATCGAAAGTAGATAGATAGATAGATAGATAGATAGATAGATAGATAGATAGATAGATATGAAAAGGTTACTATTTGTCTTGGGATGGGGGAATAGGAGAAACTATAGCAATTTGCGAAGTAAATGTAAGTTTTAAGTTTAATTATGTGCAGTTGATTGAGTGAGTTGTGAGTTGGTGCTCGGTATGTTATCACGGATTGGCACTACAACTGGGGTAAAGTGTATATTTTCACCTTCAACGCTAAAACATTGCGCTAAAAACAGGCTGGCTGTGAGACGAGGTGTGCCTCAGCGTTGATTGGTCAATACACGAAGGTGCGTCTCGAACTTTTTCTATCTTTACTTTATTTTTATTTTTATTTTAGTTTACATGGTTATTTTATTTATGTTATAGAGGTCATGTGACTATGGGATGTGGCTATTTTTATTCAATCATTTTCAGAGAAGAAAGGTATACCGCATTTCTTCTACAACCCTCAACATGGTAAGTTGCCTAAAAATATTAATCTCCTAAAATTTCTTACCTACGTTATTTGAAAAATATTTTTGTATGTTTTGATCTTTTATTATTAAAACTTGTTATGTTTTTATTATTAAAACTCTTTAACTTTAAAATACCACAGTTTAAACCTTATTTTTCTTTTCCTAAATTTATAAAAACTTTTTGCTTGCAGACAACGTACACTGACAAAGGTGAAAAGGTACGTATTAAATACAAAATCCGTCTCATTCATTTATTTCCTTTCTTCCTCCTGTTCTCTTTCACTGTATCCTTCTTGTTTCTCCCAACTTCAGCATAGTAAAAAAAAAACAAAAAAAAAAAACAAATAAATAAGAACAGCATAAGTAAGGCAACAACAATTTTATTCAGTACAATCCACAACACACACGAAGGAACTAGACTGAAACATTTTCCCGGTAGGTGCAAATTTCGGTCTGTTAAAAAATATTTTTTTTTTAATTTTTTTCTTTCTAGGTTTTTTGGTATTCACATTGTATTTTTGTTTTATTGAGTCAACAATTATTATTAATTCGTTTTTTCCGGTTCATTGTTAATGTTAATTAATTAAAAATGAATTCTAAAATCACAAGGTCTATTTTACCACGCACCACCTGTCCTGTTGATTTAATTTGATTTCCTTCTTACTTTTTTCTTTCTCGTTTTCTTTCTTTTTCTTTTTTTTTTTTTTTTTTTCACAAATAAAAATAGTTTCTATAAAAAGTGTCCGTATTATTATTTTATTTTACATTATTAATTCGAAAACAACTTTAAATGTGTTTTGTTTGCTTACTTACTTGCTGTGGAGAACACGGCGATCAAATGAGTAAATTTATGGTTTCATGAATTATTGACATTATCGCTTCAAAAAGCAATTTAAGGGAAGTTGATAAAAACATATAAAAGAAGTAAGGGAAGTTGATAAAAAAACATATAAAAGAATTACGTACATTTTCTTCAAATAAATATTTTTTATGAGTCCAGGTAAGCATAATTGGAACGCGTGTTTATGCAGTGATAAATGGAGGGAAGCAGTAGAAACAAACTTCAATGCATATTTTGCAAACGCAACACGTGTCTAACAAAACAATAATCTGTTCAAAGAACTTTTACTTTGTCGATTTAAATGCAAGACCTCCAAAAGCAAAACTTTACAATTACGATTCTCTCAATGTTTATTATAAAATTATGCCATCCATTGATCATACCATTAATGTTAATGTTATATTGTTAATTAATGACTGAAAATGTTAGGCCACATCATGTTGAAACACCAGTTCCCGTACGATCACAGAAGTTAAGCAACGTCGATCCTGGTCAGTACCTAGATGGATGACCACTTGGGAATACCAGGTTCTGTGTGCGTGTACTATAATGGATAATGACTCGGAATTATTAATCGGAGAGCAGAGTTCAAATTCCTCTTGGGTTCGTTATATTCACTTATCCGCAAAATACCCTTGTAAAAGGTATGAATCTAGCTATTCTCTCCCTAGCTATGGATTAATTAGTAAGACTTATATCACTAAAAACCATTATTATACCCCCAAAAAAAACTTCTTACAATCTAAAAAAAAGTATTTCTTGCTTTAAATAACATGCAAAGGTTTGATAAACCGTAGAAAACGAATCAATCAATCTGTAAAAGTAAAGTTGATAAATGGCTGTTTTGACAAAGTCGATAACCTGCTATGGCTTTGCAGTTATTCAATTTTCTATGAAAAATCCTCTTCTTGAAACTTTTTTCACAGATCAATTGTTTCTTTTTCTGGATAGAAGGAGCCCGAATGAATTAAGTGAATTTTTAAGAAGAAACTTATATTCAAATAATGGGACTAAAAATCCAGATGCATACAAATTTGAAATCCAAAATAAATTTCAGAGCATCAGACCTGTAGTAGACGCCTACGTACACCACGCCCACAAATTACTCAACAGTAATTGGACGGAAAATAAGCAATACCTTTTGTACAGACAATTTACGCATCGCACGAGCCACATAGAAATTTCTCGAGTTTTTGCATCACTAAATTAGCTATAGAAAAAAATCAATGATTGGTCGATTTTTGGCCAATCACATTAAATGACACTTTCTTCAATATCCTTCCCGCGCTCGTCCTTGGAGCCACCTTACATCAATAAAAAAGTAGAAATTAAAGAAATAACTTCAGTAGATTATAAATTTTCACAACCTAAACCACGTACGTGGTGTAATGGTTAGGAAGCTTGTCTCGCTAGATCAGTTATAACTGAAAAAGTGAGTTCGATCCTCACTAGATGCCCCATACTTTCGGCCTTGTGCCACATGTAAGCTACGCTTGGAAAATAACTGTATTCAATTTTCTACTCACAAACACACATAGATATAAACTGCAGTCACACAACACAGTGTACTGTCTGTTTACAAGCCAAGTCAATTATTCGAACTATATCATTCTTCTGCACGAATATTTCAACTTTCAAACTTAAACCAGTGGCTTTTCACTGTGGCTGATGTTAAATTTCCGATACTTGGTGCTGATTTTTTAGCATACTACGAGCTAACAGTCGACCTGTCCAAACACCAACTATCTGACACAACGACGAAACTTACAAACTACGGTGTTATTTCTCAACTCACCTCTACTAAGTTGTGCATCGCTGTCCCAGCAAACAACCCTCTGCAGGGCATTCTAAATCAATTCCTTTCTCTCATACGTCCTTTTACGTACACGGAGTCCGTCAAGCACCACACTGTGCATAAAATTCATATGACAGAAACACCCGTGTTTTCAAAACCTCGTAGGCTAGCCCCAGATAAATATAAAACAGCAAAAGCTGAATTCCAACTCATGCTGGATCTAGGGATCATACATCCGTCCTCAAGCCCTTATGCATCTCCACTTCATATGGTTCCCAAGGCACAGGAAGGGGCTAGGAAGCCATGCGGTGATTACCGCAGATTAAATGCTCAAACAGTCCCGTCAAGTACCCCGTACCCAACTTGGCAGACTTCGCCATTTCCCTACAGGGGGCTACAGTTTTCACAAAAATAGACTTGCGCAAGGCATTCTACCAGATCCCCGTTGCCGAAGAGGATATACATAAAACCGCGATCACAACCCCTTTCGGCTTATACGAATTTTTGCGAATGCCATTCTGGTTGCGAAACGCTGCGCAGTCATTTCCACGTTTGATAGATGAGGTACTACTTGGATTACCCAATTCCTTCGCATATATCGACGACTTGTTAATCGCCAGTGCTGACATGAGCGATCATAGACAGCACGTCAAACAAGTTTTCGAACGCCTCGACCATTATGGCCTTAGAATAAATCCGGAGAAATGCGAATTTGCAGTCCCTAGACTTCACTTCCTTGGGTTTGTTATAGACCAAACAGGAATAACTCCACTACCTGACAAAGTCCAAGCGATTAACGACTTTCGTCGCTACTTAGGATTGATTAACTACTACAGACAGTTCATTCCCAAGTGCTCTCAGATTTTAGCACCCCTTACTGACCTGCTCCGTAGTCAGGGAAGAAAGAATACTACGATACACTGGACCAATGAAACACTTGAAGCTTTTAAAAAATCAAGGGAAGCCCTAGTGAATTTCACTGTTATCTTATATCACCGACGATACCTCGACTCTTCTTTCGTTTACCACAGATGTGTCGTCTGACGTAATAGGAACGGTGTTACATCAACATGTACATGACAATACACTACCAATTTCTTTCTTCTCAGTTAAACTTACTCCAACTCAAAAGAAGTACAGCGCTTTCTCTCGCGAGTTGCTTGCAATTTACTTATGCGTAAAAAACTTCCGGCACATCTTGGAAAAGGCAAAAACTTTACGGTGTTCACCGCTCATAAACCTTTGCTCTCAATACTGTTACAAGATGAGATCTTGCCCTGCTTCGATAAACGGAAGTTACCATCACGAGTCCCCGACTCGAAATGAAAACTGCACGTCTACGCATAGGCTCGACGCAGATACTTCCGTTTGGGATAAACTCAAAAAAAAAATGAAAGAATTAAATCAACCAATCGGACCGTCTCCCGCGTAGTCAAAAAATTGCCATTTGGAGCCGATAGGCGTGTATAAGTTCAACACGGGAAAGTCAAAAGGCGGTCCCATTCAACGGCGGAGGCAGAAGGGTCACGTCGCTCGCTCCTGACACACTTGCCCGGCGACGAACGAAGCATGTGACTGCTGCTGCTAATGAACTCTCGTCCGACGCTTTGTCAAAGGGTACCTTTCCCCTTCCATAAGTCAAGTTAACTCCACGAACTTTACTTGCCACTACCATAGACACTCAACTTCTTAAATACGAACCTTTTACTTGTTCTTATTTTCCTCACTAAAAAGACTATAAAATATATTTACAGTCTTTCTTGTTCTTTCGATTCTGAATTTCATTGTTTGCAACCAAACGCAGTATTTCGCCCACATTATTTTCACATCGCCAAACGCATCTAAATACGGAATATAACAATACGAAGTCCGAAAAATACAACCCACGAGACTATAGACAATTGGATTATATCTTGCAGTATACTGCGGATATTAGACACATAAAGGGGCATGATAACATCGTTGCAGACACTTTATCCCGATCATCCCTGTGTAATAATGTACAGAATGCTTTGGACATCGAACAATTAGCATATGAGCAGACAAGGGACGTAACTCTGCTCGACTCTCTGAAGGACTCGTCGCTACGGCTTGAGCAACATCCCCTACACTTCAGCACCAAATCGATCACCTGCGACACAAGTTCACCTAACCCTAGACCCCTTGTTCCAATCAGCATGAGGAAGAGAATAATTGAACATTTCCACTAATTTTCCCACCCTGGTCGTAAGGCTACACTTAAACTCACAGACGAACGCTTTGTATGGCCAAACATGAGGAATGATATAAAAAATTACACTCAATGCTGTCTAATCTGTCAGAAAACGAAAATTCAGCGACACACGAAATCACCACCCGGTGCCTTTGCAGTACCTGATGGGCGTTTCCGCCATCTGCACGTCGACTTGGTGGGTCCGTTGACCGAAATGCACGGACACCAGTATATTTTAACCATCATTGACAGATTTACGAGATGGCCAGTAGCCATCCCTCTCAAAAGCACAACCGCGGAATCTGTTGCTAAGGCAGTGTTTCAACACTGGATCTCGATTTTCGGGTGCCCTTCGATTGTTACAACAGATCGCGGACCACAGTTTCAATCTCAACTTTTTTACGGAATTTACAAACCTCCTCGGTGCAAGACATATTTCAACCACTGCATATCACCCGTGTGCCAACGGGTTGGTTGAACGCTTTCACCGCCAATTAAAGGCTGCTCTAACTAGTTCCAGTACTAAACCAAACTTCATGGATTGAAAATCTATCTTTAGTGATTCTATCCCTTCGCTCCCAAATCAATGAGGATCTAAATTGTTCGCCGGCTGACCTTGTCTTCGGACAACAATTAATATTGCCCGGCCAATTTCTCTCCAACCACTCAACACATGAACCTACTACGACTTTCATCAAATATTTACAAAGCAGAATGTCATCATTAGCTTTCACGCCTACCCGATTCTCTAATAAAGACATATATGTTCCTTCGTCGCTGAATGAAAGCGAATTCGTCTTTGTCCGGCAGGATGCAGTGAAGAAACCTCTAACGCCACACTACGCTGGTCCATTCCGCGTCCTGGCCAGGAATGAAAAAAATATTACAGTACACCCTTCAGTTCAACCATGGCAAATCTAACGTGTCCATAGACCGTCTCAAGCCTGCTTTTATTGAATGCAACGCAAAGCCCAGCCAACCACCGACTCCATCAACTAGACTGTAGCGATAAGGGTTACATTATTGTTTATTTCCGACGGGATCACCAAATATGTAGCGGTTATATTACCATTGTTGTTATGAACGTAGCGGTCATTATTGTAATGATTGAGTTACCAATATTTAACTTGGTCTAGGAAAGGTGAGATTAAGGACAATGCTTGAACGCAATGCAATTTATATTTGACGTAAAAAGCACATAGTATAAAATACAAAACTGAACGGAATGATTTCAAAACATAACAATTAGATTTATTAATGTTTGATGTACATGCATGCGAACTGAAAAGGTAGGACAGAGTCGTGTCCCTTTGATTAGGTATTATAGTTGTACCGGAGTTCATATTAAGAAGAAGTAATATTAAACTTGTAATTTAGAAGAATAAAGTTTGGAATTGTAAGTTGCGAAGTTGGTAAAAGTTCAGGAGTGATTTCAGAGTTCGTGAATGTTGGTAATTGTCTTTAACGTCTGGCCAGCAATGACTAAGACGGGAGTTCCTGAAGGTTACATCTTGGCACTTGGTAGCAA